TCATATAGTATCGAAAAACAACTCAAACGTTTAGCTTACCTACTTCTCAACTGTGTATATATTGCAATATCTATAGTACAACTACTGTCAATATTATTATCACATCAATAAAAGTGGAAGTTACTTAAAGACAAACTGCCCGACCTCCCAAAAATTTTTGCTCAATGAAAAGCAATCAACTGTTCATTACTTCAATGCTCAGTTGTCGTGGCTACCAAACAAATAATAATATTTTTCGAGTATATAAATAATCTCTTCAAATTCATTTGGAAATGTTATATGTACTAATTTCATCCTGGGTAATGGTAATAGAAGTAGTGTTGTGAATGAGAATAAAAATGGGGAACAACCAGATATATCTCAATACATTACAGAATATTTCGTTAAAATCTGAGAACCATACAATAAATACATCATTTGCAAAATGTCAATCAATTGTCTCATACTTTATTGTTCTTTCATTTCCACATTAAATCATCTTCTATTCTCGTTCTCTTTTCTTCGATCTTCTTAACCTTCTGCCATCAGGTATTTCACTTTTAATTAGTGTTACATACTACTTATATCTGTCAACATCAGTAGCGCACACCACAATAGTAGTAGTAATAGTAGTAGTATATTTCGAAAGAAAAAAAAACATTTAATCAATTAAAATGAGCGCCACTTTTTTTCTCTGGTTTCAGCTGTAAACGATCAATTCTATTGTTTAGATTTTTTTTTGACAAATTAAAATAAGAAATATACAAAATAACAATTATATTTAACACATCTGAACAGCTGGTTAATAAATGAGTTAATTTCTTATTCTATTTTACCTTACTTTTACTCATATGAATACAATACAATTAAACAAAGCAAACAGTTTGTATAGACATTTACAATAGTTTTATATACATAAAAACAAATAATAACTTAATGAATAAACTGGTAGTTAATGAATGAAGCCTTTTCTTTTGTCCAATTTATTCACATAGATTTTGTTTCTCCCTCCCTACCTCCCTCTCTCACTCACTTACCCTCTCTCTCTCTCTCGTTTTCTCAATACATGTGAAATTTTTCACTAAACAAGCATGTGCATGTATGAAAAACTTATCAATTTTTATTATTAGTACTTCTACCACTACCACCACCACCACCACCACCACCATCAACACTATCATCATTATCATCTATAACAACGAAGACGTCAACAATAGTAATGACAACAACTGTACACTTATAAAATTTCGATAAATTAATCTGTTATAATTAACTTTATTTAAAGGGTCAATATTTTTATTTGGCGCCATTATTAGATTGATTATTACTCTTTTTTTCTCTCAGTGAAATGTAAGTTTTCACACAGTTAATATACGCGCGTGTATATGATATTTATGAATAAGAGATTCCTTAGTTTATTGGTATTACTTCGTATATTAGTAGTGATAATAATATGTATTTGAAGTATAAAGATTAAGGAAGAACTAAGGAAATACACAGACACTTATACACATCCACACACACACACACATTTTTGACACAACTTGCCGCCCTCTCATGTCAAATATAATAATTATTAGAACAACTGTCTTAAATATTCCTTAATTTATTCCTTTATTTATAGTTGATTTAAGCATATTAGTGTGATATTGTTAATTTAACAGTTGTTCAATGATCAAAGTTTATCAGATCTCTATAGTTTTTTTTTCTAGATCTATTTGATATTTAAATGAAAATTGAAATCTTAATGATTATTTCAATGTTTGAGATCATGAATTAATTGAAGCTAGACCACCATGGAAAACCTGGAAGTCATGGAAGGCCGTTTCATCCTATTGTGGGATTCCTAAGCAGTACGTATCAACGATTCGGAATCGCAGGATTCGAACCTAGGACTACTGAGCTGACCGGCATCCAATGGTGTTAATATCTAACTACAACCGATCCACGAAATTATCATCAGTAAGTTATTATCTCATGACAGACCAATTTGAACTCGACTGGTCACTGTTTTTCACTAGAACTCCAGGAAATACCTCTTGCAATCAGTCACTAGTGAGCATATTTTGATTAATATCAGAAGTGTTTTTGTGGATATTGTAGTAATTTCAATGGTTGAAATCATGAGTCTAATTCAATAAGATGTATGTTTTTAGTTTATTTCATATTCTGAAGTTCTGTAAATAGATCATTTAGTAGTAATTAAGGTTATATTATTTGGGGGCTATAACGTTAATCTTATTCTGTTAATTAATGTTGATATGTCACTATCACTCAGTTAACTCCGTTAATATGGCGATCTTCCTCATTCCACGTCGGATAACTGAAAACAATTAACACGAAGCCTCTGTAACTTGAATCTTGTACCCACTGAGATTTATCAGAGAGAGATATGTTTGCCTAATTCTTCTCCAAACATGTAAAATAAGATATTGAACAATGCCAAATCACCACTTATCTTAATAACTATAGTGATAGAATCCACTTAGGATTTAGGACTGCCTGATGATTGAATATAGTCAGAAGGAATTCTTGTTCGACCCGTATTTCGTGCTAGTCGGCACTCGTCAACAAGGGATATCTGAAATCTTGAGGGAACTAATACTTCCTGTGGGATTCAAACCCACATATCCCAACTTCATAGTCTGGGACTTGACCATTAAGCTATTGGGGGATGTGGGTGACCTCTTGTTGAACTGTGATTTATTGTGAAGAATGTTTTTGGCACCTATGACATGGGGTGGTAGCTGATCATTGATCAGAACTCAAACTGGACTAATTATGCTTCTGGACTTAATTATAACTCTTAATGGTTAAGCATATTAGAGATTCTTAAGCTGAGTCTTCCTTTTTTTACTTGACTATATACCTTGTAGAAGAACTGTTATAGTGTTTTTAAATAATTGATTTCTGAAAAGTAACCTATATGATGCTTGTTTACTTCTTTAATACTTACTGAATTCTATCTACCTCTAACCATCTTCCATCTCGACACAGTACACTTGTGCTCATATTGCAAACTTGGTCGATAGAATTAGATCGTCAGAAAATGACTAGACAAATATGAAATTTATTATTATTTAATAATGTACCGTTCCTACAGAAAGTCACTGATAATGTTTTTGATTATTATACGCTGACATATCATACAATTAATTACCGTAAGGAATTTTTGCAACGAAATATGCAACATGGTAACAAATTCACGTTTTATAGACGTTTAGCTTGTAAATATTCAGAAGATTTATATTGAGAATTTAGTAAACAGTGATTACTTTACCAAGCCCTTACTTGGAATCCTCAAGGCCAAAGCAGAAGAGGAAGACCAAAAAACACATTACACCGAGAAATGGAGACAGACATGAAAAGAATGAACAACAATTAGATAGAACTAAAAAGGAAGGCGGTGGACAGAGTAGGTTGGAGAATGCCGGTCGGCGACGTATGCTCCATTGGGAGTAACAGGCGTAAATAAGTAAGTAAATTAACAAACATATACATTCGTAAATCTTGTCAGGCACTTTTATTCTTATGATACCATTTTTCACCAGTGAACCATTATTCAACATTGTTAATGTTTAACTTTAACCAAATTCACGATATTACACGACCATCCATCATTGTGTTTAGCGAACTACTGTATCACAACATACACAATTGACACAAAACAGTTATCCAGTACTTTCAGATTTTCCATGATTGTATAACTTAAATCAACTCATGAATTCAATCATTAAATTAATACAATCTTCACAAACTCTCATTCTGAATTGACTATCTTCTCCATGGAGGTAAATTTTAAATAAATAAATAAACAAACATATCTCACTTCTATTAAAAACAACAACAATATCAATGACCTCATTTAAATTCATACACAACTCAGTATTGGTAGATTCGATGCACACGTTTAATTGTACTATTATTATTAATATTATTATTATTATTATATGTAATGTATTTGTATGTATGTGTTGTGAAGTGAATTTAAAATTTTGTTTACTTTCATGTCACTATTATTATTATTATTAATATTGTTGTCATCATCATATCCAGTAAATTGTCTAGGTTTTTTGACCTAATGAACACTATGCTATGATTACGAGTGATTGTTTGTTGTTTGTTGTAGTTGTTTAATGACTATTAACTATTATGAAGATTGTCATACAAATTATCTATAAAACGACCCGTTCACCGTGTCTATGTCTATTAAACTTGGCATTCTACTAACGAAAAACAACAACTAAACTATGTAAACAGATATTGAACAATTCGAGTGTATAATAGAGATGAAAGAAAAAGTGAGAATAAAAGAAGTTAACGAAGAAAATATCTATAGTAGGCAACAATAAAGCAAGGAGAAGAGAAAAAAAAGGCGAAAACAGTTTGTTTTTTTTTAATGTTTAATTCATTTAACCAATCCAACTGTAATGCTTCTTGATCTCCTATGATTATATGGTATATGGTCGCTTAAAATAATCACTCTTTGTTATTCCTTCTCTCTCTCTTTCTCTTTCTCCTTATCTATGTCCATTCGTGTACAACAAACAGAATTTTCTAGTATAGAAAATTAGTTAGACAATATGATATGACAAGCGGATAGAGAAGTGTTTAATGTTTATGCTTAGAGGGGAGGGCAATAGGTTTACATGGAATAAGGAAATCACTAATATCATTATTACTATTCTATAGGCATGTGTTGATACAGTAATATTCTGAATGTTTTTATACACACATATATGTATATATATATACATAGACTTTCGAAAATTGACACCAATAATTTAGATCTGCTTATTATTATGAACAAGTGTGAAAGCATTCTATTGGTTAAAAGTGTGATGTTTCATTCTATTTATTCATCCCCCTATCAATTTTAAAAAGGATTTTGTATCCAATCGTTTTAACATTTTTGTTGAGATGTTAATTTCATGTATGTATGTGTGTATGAAAGAGTGTAAGAGAAAGAGAGAGAGAGAGAGACTTTACGTAAATATTAGTTAGTTATACAAAAATTACCAATGCAGCATTGCTTTCAAATAAGTAAGATACAATTGTACAGTACTATTACAATTACAAATTATTATTATTATTGTTTTTATTACTACTATTATCGTTATGTTGATCAGTCAAAAAACATCGAATTTATGCTTTCCTGATAAATCCCCATCAATGAATTTATCAACACAATTGAATAATTCAATTCTTTTTAATTCAAACCCTATGGAATCACATGATAAAAATAACCATGATGATGGTGATAATGATGATGATGATAATGATGACGATGATGAAGATGAGCCAAAATCATTAAACATAGAAACATGTAAGTCACAATTTTTATTCAATCGAAATAGACATAGTTCTAATGAATCTAACATATCGAAATCATCAATTTCACCATTGTTGTCAACTCTACCAAACAGTAGTACGGCGTTTAAATCTCCATCTCACCTACCACAGACTAATATAAACCTACAGTCATCGTTACCATTATTATCCCCAACATCATTACCATTTCCACTTCCTTCTGTCCCTCCATTAACTAATTCATTATTTTGCAAAAACTCCACATCATTCTATTCTACTCTAATGAATCGAATGGATCCAGACCAATTACATGTTCTTATAAAAATGTTAAATGATACAGTTACAAATGGTTTACTAAATAATAGCTCTTCAAATTTATCACTACCACCTACATCGATTTCAACAGCAGCATTAACTACTGCGGCGTTGCAATCAATGTTCAATAGTACCATGTTTAATACGGAATCATCAGTAGCAATGAATTTATTTAATAATAAGTTTGATTCAGTAGAACATTTCGATATTGGTAATCATGTACACAACGATTTGAAGAACAGTTTTAGTTCACAATATGATTATTATCATCATTGTCTCCGTGAACAGTTGGATTCCCGATATTTTTCAAAAGATTATTTGAATGATCTTGCTAATTGGTCAGATAATATTGACAATAATAATAATAATGTGTTACTTATGATGTTAATGATGATGTTTATGAAAAGAAATATCGATTCATTGCTATCAACACCTAATCAACTAAATAAATCACCAACACTAACATTATCATCTGCTTCTGGACCATCCACTTCCCCGTCATCATTATCCATGTTGATAACATCATCGCCATCATCGACAAAAGGACTTACGACGATGACAGCAACAACAACAACGGAAAACCAATTTATAGATGATCATATATTACATTGTGACAAATCTAGTCAACATCGTTATAATTTGTTGCATAATCCAAATTATTTAAACACTGGAGATGGATTGCAAAAATCTATGAAATGTAACATAGTGGATGATCAAGAAAATTTAAAATTTAAATTAAATCATTTAAATGTATTCCCAGAGAAATTAACTATTCGTGATATCATTGGTTCAACTGGTAATAGTAAGAATACTACTATGGTTAGTACTACTATTACTACTACCACTACTACTTATAACAATAGTCATAATAATAATAATAATAACAATAATAATGGTAATGTTTATCAGTCATCTAATCCATATATCATGAATGATTTATTAGAAAATGAATCAGATCAAACGGATTCACTCGTTCAACGAACTGAATTATTAGATTCTGATCTATGGAAACATTTTCATAGTATGACTACTGAAATGGTAATTACAAAATCAGGACGGTAAGTAATATATAGTATATATATATGAAGTATTTTAATAAAAAGATTGCCTTCTTCACTCGAATATAATAAATGTCTACACTATAGGTTCCATTACAAAACTATAAATGTTTATATTGATAAAATGGTTATACATACATTTGTATCAATAAGTGAGATATGATAAGTAAACGATGGAGACAAAAAATCCCTGTTCCATTAATGATTTGATTCTGTCTGTCTCAAATGAAGACATTTGAATTTAGATTGATGTAATTTTATAATTGAATTCATGAGTCAAATGAAGCTAGACTACCATGGAAAACCTTGAAGCACTGGACGGTCGTTTCGTCCTAATATGGGACTCCTCAGCAGTGCACATCTATGGTCCTGTCCCGTAAGATTCAAATCCAGGACTTATATTGATGTGTTATCACTTATTTTTCTGATAGATTTATGTCACACAAAAGTTTTCTGTTTTTGTGTATATAATTGTAGAGATTGTTGAGTATTAATTGAGTTCCTGAACTGATCAATGTTAGATCATTATTGAAAACCTGGAAAAAATTATAAATTTCATAGTAAAAATGTATGATATAATGTTTATTAGTTGAAGATATAGTCTGTAAGGGAAAGTTTGTTATGATATATGATCTCTATATAAAAGGAACTTTTATCATATACCGTTAAAGTTAGAAACTATTTTTTACCAAACGAAGTAAGTATCACCTAACTTAGAGAATACAGTACCTTATAAAAAACACAATGAATTCATTTTGACAGAGTTTTGTTCTCTGAGCTGGATGGTTTGGTTGTGAAGCTCTCATCGTTCTTCTGAACCACATCATCAGAACATACTTCAGGTAGAAGTCTCTAAATCCTATCTGAAGTTTGTGCTGGTGATATGGTTCAGAAGAACGATGAGAGCTCCACAACCAAACCATCCAGCTCAGAGAATAAAACTCCATCAAAATTATCCACCTGAGCTACAAATCTTCTCCACCATCTCACAACAAATTCAGTCGATCGTTTAAAAACAAAGGAGAAATATGTATTACATAACACTTAGATCTTTTCGAAAATTTACATAAATCACATATGGTAACCTGGATAACTTGTAGTTCTAAGATTATTTCATACATAAGTTTATTGTTTAATGTAATATATCATAATTTCTATTGAACCATTCTACTTAACAATCTTATTAGAAACTAAACTGTTGGGAACTGCCTAACATTTAACGTTAGACGGTCTGATGAAAAAAAAATCAACTTGATATTAGTCATTTTAATATATACAATGATAATAAATACGATTAGATTGTCAAAATGTTAGTCAGTCAATCAGCTACAATGTAAGACCAGATATATATGTTCATCGGTCCAAGTTGCCACACCTCATTAGCACAACAATATGAACATCAAATTCATAGAAGTAGTTGCTTCAATGGTAGTGATATATAAAAGAAAGATTATGTATAAGGATATAATGCACGAAGAAAGAATTAGTTGGTAGAAAGAAAGATATAAAGCAATTTTAATTTCACAATTTAAGGGAAGACAGAGAGTCTATACACCTACGCCATTGTGATCGATTCTGAGCCATATTACACAGAGGCTCCGGCCATTGGTTACGATAGTCACGCGAATTCCAATCACGTAGTCTGCATCTATCAACATGGCTCAGACTAGAAATTAGTGACTTCAAGGACTATTGCCAAGTTTTGGTTTGTCCGCCCCTAACGTTCTTTCAGCCGTCTCCAACACGAGTCAGCATTGAACGCCGTAGCAATCAGTGTTCAGGCATACGTTACACTTGGCCCAACAAATATTTTATATAATATAATGATTATTTTAATCAGTAATTGATGTTATCCGTAAAACTATGAACAATCAGGTAGAACTAGAGATTTGATTTATTGTGTTGTGAGATTTTTTAGAAATGTATATCTATAAGATGTTGCTTAAAACATTTAGCATTCCATAATCAGTTTGTCAGTCAGTTAGTTCGTCAGCTACAACGTAGGACCAGGCACATATGTGCATCAGTTCAAGTTGTCGTACTTCATTGGCACAACAAGATGAACACTGGATTCATAGAAGTAGTTAATTCAGTGGTGGTGGTGGTGGTGGTGATATATAAAAGAAAGATTGCATATAGGGACATAGTACAGGAAGAAGGAATTAGTTCGCAGAAAGAAAGATATGAAGCGATTTTCATCTCATAGTTTAAAGGAAGACAGAACATGTTTGTATCATGTTTTATTTATTTGAGCTTTGATAGACGGATAATATCATTAGTTTTTTACGAAATTAATGAGGTTCGATGTTCAGAGCCTAACCCATGACTTAATAAATGTGAATTATATAATATATGTACCTTAAACATTCGATTAACGGATCAGTATCCAGTAGTTCATTGTCTTTCTTCCCTTAAGACATGAAATTAAAATTATTTTATATCTTTCTTTCTGTATTACATCATTACATAAAAATCTTCCCTTTATGTATTACACCATTGAGTTAACTACTTCTATGGACCCGGGTATCATCTTGGTGTGCTAATGAGATATGGCAACTTGGACCGACGCATGTATGTGCCTTGTCCTACGTTGTAACTGACTGACTGATTGATTGAGTTCATATTTTCCACATTGAATCAGTTTTCATTATAACCAAACTTTAATTAATTTTATTGAAAAATATTTATTTTACTCTCAAATTACTTGTCTCTATGTATTACAACATTGTATGTCATAAAATTGTAAATTCTATAGAAATAATGAATTTTGAAATACGAACCCAGGAAATATCAGTCTCGCTCGCGAGCGCTTAACCTCTACACCACTGAGACGGCGACACATTCACCATTATCTTCAGTGAGTTACTATCTCACAACAGACCTGGTTGAACTCCACTAGTTACTGCTTCTCACTAAAACTCCAGGAAATACCTTTTGCAATCAGTCACTAGTGAGCATATGTTGATTAATATTAGAACTGTTATTGTGGATATTATAATAACTTCAATGGTTGAGATCTCAATGGACGAAACGGCTGTCCAATGCTTCCAAGTTTTCCATGGTGGTCTAGCTTCAACTGACTCATGATCTCAACTCCTTCTGATATTAATTCTGAAATACTTAACAATTTAGATTATTTCAATATGATGTAATAATAAATGAATTATGATTAATAATGAAATATAAAACAAACATGTCTCATGTTATATAGGATTCATCAAATGGTTGTTAATATTCACACTAAATCTCTAACATAATACCTTTCATTATGATTAATTTGTGACGATAAATGAATATATCAGTGCAATCTATATAGAATTTATAAAACTTGATCGAAATTAAATCAAGCATATCATCAGCCATGTTGGTAGGTATAGACTACCTGATTAGGATCTGGAAGATGATAGCAATCGATAGTTAGAGACCTTCAATGACATGGCTAAAAATCGTCTGCAATGTCGCAGATGAATCCAATCTCTGTGTCCTCCCAAATTCTAATCTTATGGATTCTTGATGTCTTCTATTTTTTTCCCTCTTCAAATTTATTTCACTGGATTGTACTGCTTTAATATCATCTTCAAACTCTAACCTTTCCGATAACTGCTTATATTCTTACTACCTTTACCATTATGGGATTTAAATCGACAATTGTATCTCTGTGCTAATGTGGTATGTCAACTCGAACTGATGTACATACACATAAAGTTCTATGTTGTTACCGACTAACTGATGGATCAGTAAAGTAATTCAAATCTTTACATAATACATAATAATATGATCACTTGATTTTTTTTCTGGCTTCATCAATTTGAATTTGATCGATTTTGTTTCATTATTAAAACATTTTAAAACTTTCAAGTAATTGATTGATTGATTGATTGACTGATTGATCGAAATAACTAACTAAAAATAACTTTTCATTATTTTTTTTTTTTTTTGATGTAAAATAAATGAGTGAGATCATTCTAAGATTTATTAGATACTTCAACCAAGCAATAGTTATCATTATCATTAATTTATTTCATAATAGGTGTATATATATGTATATATAGTACAGTTGTGAGTTTATTACGTAATTACATATCCTATTTGGTATATTTAGCTTCACTTATTAGCTTAGTAGACGATAATTCATCAAATATTTGAAGCAACATTTATGCGATCAGACTCTCAGTGTGAAAGAATATCAGGTGGTATATCCTAGGTAAGATGAAACGAGTGTCTTGAATTCGATTGTTATAACTTGTAAAACCATATCATATCAATGCAGTCCGTTCAGAATAGACATAATGTCAACAAAGACTGATCAATTACTGTTTTGAATAATAACAAATGGGAATTACAAATTTCTACCAGTAGATTATCAATTTTATTTTAATGTTTTATTTCGATTTCCCTCTCTCTCTCTCTCTCAATCCTTCTGGAATTGAATAAAAATAATGATACCTTTCAGATTCACCAAAGATTGACCTTATTTCATATACTGTCAAACGCTAAGGAGGATTAGAAAGTGTGTCATCCTGGTATAGGAATCTTCTGCAGTGTGTACACACTACATCACCTAGGATCGAACCCAGGACCTCCAGGTCTCTTGATGAATGCTTGATAGCTAAATCACTAGGTTGAAATTCAGTAGTACAGATTTCAAACCTCAATCGATTTGTTAAATAGCCAAATAGTTGACCAGTGTTCTAATCCTACGACACCTGCACTGTACGAGTCACGATTTCTTGTTCAAGGGTTTATATAGTTATATTGGGCATTCGATACGTCCAACACTATCTTTTTAACTCTATGGTTGTAAAAAAGTATTCTTTATTATCATTTTGAATGTCATAAGCAGTATACAAGGATATTTCTTTTTTATCATGTTACATTGCATTTGAATTTTACGCAAAGACCTAGAAATCACATCGTCTATTTCGATTGGCTCGTCCTTATGGTATACTTTTAACCATAGGACATATTTACTGTGATTCTAATAAATTTTACAAATTAAT